ATATGGAAAGTTTGACTTAGAGTGGTTCAGCAGAATTATGTGGAGTGATTAATCACGATAAAACACTCGTTGTATGGTGACGCACCAGAGCGGTGTCTTTTGAAGATCTGAATGCACCTACCACAGTGATGCTGATACTGGTGGGCTGCTTCACTGTGAAAAGTCAACTGAGTATAAGAGAATATTGCAGAATGGCTTGCTTCCCAGTAACTGAAAAGTTATTATCTAAAGAGGAACGATCAGATGTTATTTTTTAAACAAGAAAATGCTCCTGCGTACACACTGCAAAGATAACCAAGAAGCGGGTTGAAAACAAGTCCATCAGGCTCGTGTTTTGGCCTGGTCAGAGTCCAGATTTGAACCCTATAAAGATTTTTTGGTCTCACATTAAACTCCAGCTAACTGGGAGACATTTTTCAACTACTAACTGTTTGAAGCCATCAACATTGAGTGGGACAACATTGACTCTTCTTCCTTAAAAAGTAATCTGCACATGACTTAAAACATTTAAAAATAAAGAAAAATGATATCCTGTACTAAAATACATTATCTACAGTATTTGTGCAATTCTTGCTAATTTCCTGACCAGTGGTTTTGTGGTTAAAATGTTCAAATGTGCACCAATAAAAGCTAAATATTTATTCATTTTTGACTTGTACCTCTATGCTATACAGTCACTTTTTCCATACAATTTTTCTTTACTCTTCTAAGCAATTGTTATTGCAAAAGTATGGATCTGATATATCTAGATTGTGACCTTTGCACTGACAGGTCACATTTTCCCCCCAATATTGTAAAGCACATGTGTGAGTTAAAAAGACCCCATTCATGAAACACAAGTAGAACAAATTTTGGTGCATGGTTCATAAATCCAAAAGGTTTTACGTACAAACTATTTACACAGAAATCCATTCCACATTCCATGTTTCAGAAAAGAGATCCACAGATGTTATGGCAAGCACCTACATTTTGCTTATTCTATCTGGAAAAACAGACCAGTTGAATTCTTTCCAAATATCAGATGTTTTGATTGATTATCAGCAATCATATACCAAGCAAACAAAACCAACGTAATCTGAGACCCATCTCATAGCAGCTAACAGAGGTGATCTTCCTGAAAGCACTGTAAAACATTCTTAAGGCATTAACCCAAAAATGGACAAACTTGTGCAGTTTTATCCACAGTGCAATAAATAACAAAAAGTACTTTCACTAGGAGGAAAAGACCCTCAGTGGTTTCTCAGTTGTACAATGTTGGGGGAAGTGGCAAACTTTCCAGTAATCTTACAGCAATAAAGCCAACAATGACCACTCACAAACCACAAAAGCTGATAGAAAACCCCTATATTGACTTTGCTGAGAAAGCCTTGAACTTTGCATGAAATATTGATTTAAAATGATTTCATAATGTGGAAAGAAAGAGGGTGTTGAGTGAAACCAATTTAGTGGGCACAATATAAAAATACTTTTAAAATATTTTCAAGTGTTCCAGAGAGCTACAAGCTAATAATTGTTACCACATCGTTTTGAGGAAGTTATAGCAGGAGTTTAATGCTTAAAACACAACTACTTTTTAAAACACTGCTTTTGTTTGTGAATTTTACTAGCAATTTCTGACTGAAAACTGTTTCTACACCAAATCTTTTCAGTGTGATTATAAACCATTACATTTGAGCTCAATCCATAATAAGAGACTTCTCTTGGAAATAATATCAATTATTAAATGTGATTAAGATGTCAGTGAACAGTAAAACAATTTACTGTCTTTCATTGAATTTGGGGCTAAAAGGTCTCTGACCTACTTTGCTACATTGGTGCTCTAAGGCTCATCTTCAAGATTTAGGAGCAATAATTGACCTAGTTACAAGCCCAAAACTGCCTGAAGCAGGTCATTACTGCAAGGAAGTGAAAATACAGCTATTGTTATTGAAATTTAGGTTAGATCATATGTTTCAAACATATATTTTGACAGGTGTTTTCTTTGCAATTGTATACCTGTGTTTACATGTGTTCATGCCCTGTTGAATGACTCATTTAAGTTAAAGTGACTTATCTTGAAATGTAAAGCATTCATTTTACCTAATAATCATGGATTAAACTATTAAGCAAAATTAGTGAAACATTTTGAATGCTGAACACAGCAAAAGTGGAAACAAGACAGTTAGTGTTTCCCATCTGTAACAGCCCATCTTTACCTGAAATTGCTGGAGGGGAAGCAAGTCTGATCAAGTTGTTTCAGTCGTGCGGTTTACAGGAAACCATGGGAGCATGCAAGCCCACTTTATATCTGTCCTTGGTCTGGGAAGCATGTTGGCAATAAAGTATGGGCTAATGTGACAAGAAAGGATTAAACAAATAAACAAACCAAACTACACAAGCAAAACCACAAATGCACACACAATTTGACATGCACACAAATTAAATGAAAATGATTTATAGTTTAAATTTATATTTAATGCAATTACCTTAACATAAGACGTTTTTGACATATTTAAGTAAGACTTAAGTACATTTTAAATGTAATTTCATAAATACTTTTATTGCCTTTGAAATATGGTTAAAGTGTATACTGTCATATGTACTGACAAGCATTTATGATAAACTAAAATATAGCTTGAAGCCATTTATATTTACAGTTATACATCATATATTAAAGGAATAGTTAGCACAAAAATGAACAAAATTGACCTACACTCAGGCCATCTAAGATGAGTTTGTTTCTTCATCAGAAAAGATTTGGAGAAATTTAGCATTACATCATTTGTTCACCAATGGATCCTCTGCAGTGAATGGGTGCCGTCAGAATGAGAGTCCAAACAGCTGATAAAAACATCACAATAATCCACAAGTAATCCACACCACTTCTATCCATCAATTAACATCTTGTGAAGTCAAAATTTGTGTGTTTTTAAGAAACAAATCCATCATTCAGGAGTTTTAACTTCAAACCAGCACTTCTGACAAAAATACAAGTACATAATCCATAATAACAGTTCATCCAGTGAAAAAGGCCCAAGTTGTCCTCTTACATTTAAGTTAAAAAAACGACTTGATGGATTTGTTTATTTAAAACACGCATAAGAGATTAATGGACAAAAGGGGTGTGGATTAGCCTACTTATGATGCTTTTATCAGATGTTTTTGAACTCTCATTCTCATTGATGCTGCTACTAAAGCTCTACTATAGGGTGACCATACGTGCCATTTTCCCAGGACGCGTCCTGGCCAGGATTTCTATAGTGCCTAAAATACCTAGGTTTTGGCTTTGTTTGCGTGTGCAGACCGATGACATCAAAATACCATACAGACAGTTCCTTATGCTTTCAAAATGCATACGCAAACAAAGCAAAAACCTAGATATTTTAGGCACTATAGAAATCCTGGCCAGGACGCGTCCTGGGAAAATGGCACATATGGTCACCCTACTCTACTAGCTAAATCAGTCTTAAAGGAACACTCCACTATTTTGGCTCATTTTCCAACTCCCCTAGAGTTAAACAGTTGAGTTAGATCGGCTGAATGGATTCGTAAACGGTAAAACTCAACTGTTTAACTCTAGGGGAGTTGGAAAATGAGCCTATTTTCAAAAATAGTGGAGTGTTCCTTTAAGTGGTTTTCTTTTCTGGTCTTGGCTAGTCTCCCAGCCTAGTCGGACTGGTCTGTTGAATGATTTTAGAACAGTTTAACCACTTAGCATTATTCCTTACTCTGGAGTGACATCGCGTGGTCATTTAGTAACGTTACGCAACTAGAAATCCGGAAGACGCACTTCCTTGTCAAGGACGTTCATTGCGCGTTGTGTCTCTCCCGGTACACCTACATTCTGAAGTTTACTGTAACCGTTATATTTATTCGTTAACTTAGTTTAAGAAATTTTCGAGATAAGTAAATAATAAAGGCTGACTAAATGATGGCTCGATTAATCACGGGAGAATCAATTCCTATCACAGTGTAATAAATGGCATTTTTGTTTCGTTTTGTAATGGAAAGTACCCACGGGTGCTGACCTGAGATCATTGTACGCGCTCTCGTCTTGCCCGTTGTGTGGGTTGTGCGCGAAAACTAAATCTGATCCCAGATCATCCGAAGTTTTAAAAACGCAGACGAGCTCATAATTCCATAGCTGTGCCGCGCGGTGCATTCTGGTAGTAGTTGAAAGATTCAAGATGGCGGCGAGCAGGAGACTACACAAGGTAGACGTCCAAACCTCATACTTTTTATATCGCAAATAAAGAAAAAACACATACGGCGACGCAATGGGGGTTTAAACATAAAGTTTAGCTCGCAGAAAAGCTGTTCACTGGTGCTTGAGCGGCGTTGTTAGGAGCGGTTCTCTCACTCGATGACTCGGCTCGCTTCGCGTTTCTAAACATGAAAGAGGAAAGGCGCCGGTGGAGGCCGCGGGACGCTAGAACAGGGTTTTGGGGTCGAGATCGGGGAGATAGAGGGTCAAAGGACACGTTTGAGTAGGCTTCAGTGTTTTATCAAGTCCTTGCATTCGTTGACAGTGAGTAAATGACAGGAATGTAACGCACAGGAGTCTAATGCGATGAGTTCCGTCACAGCGGATTCGGTTGATTCAAACAGATCTGAGTCATCTGGATACAATAACTATAAATTAATCGACTGTTATAGGAACTAATATATGTTTTTAACCGAATAATGCTGTCTAAACCCCGCTGCAGTGACGATAGACATGACTCAAAAGACTCCAAACCAGCCACATCTGTCACATATAAGCTGAATTCGCCGTCCTTTTTACGTTTTAAGCTTGAAATAACATAATGAAGTAGAATACTGCTTAAATAAGTCGGTTTAGTGAGTTCCAGGTGGTTAGCTGTAGTAACGCCCTTAATAAAAAAAAAACGAAACTGTAAGTGTTCACAACAAGCTTTCGCTTTATAAGCTTCCGTCTTGTCGAAATCACTTCATTCATTCACAACGCGTGATTAACTAGCTTTTAGCCACCTAGATGTGTCTGACCAATCGTTTTTGAGGTTAACCTCTCTGAATTGACGTCTATTTGATGTTTTGGGGTGTTTATGTACAGTGAGTGGACTTATTGTATGTCAAAGTGACCATTTTAACGAGTTTACTTCCTTGTTAGGTAAGAATGGTTGCAAATGTCAATCAACTGACTCCCAGTTGCAATAGAAGGAAATGGGTAATCCTTACAGGGCACTAAAATATACCCTTTTACTATAGTACTTATTATTGGACGTGTAGTTGATGATGTTTGATTTAATACAGTAAGGACTTACTGCATTATTTTATAATTTTGATTATAAATTCAAACAATAACTTAAAAATTGTATTTTTACCTGAATAATCAAGGGAATAATTGACAGATTAACCAAAGTATCAAAATAATCATTAGTTGCAGTCCTATGTGAGACTAAATAGTGATCATAAACAGCCCATGTTAGAGCAATGGTTATTACTTCAAACATTTAAGGTGTGGTTTGTTGTTGTTTTAATGCACACTCACTTGTACTTCAGGTCAGTTATTTAAAGTAAGCTGCTGAGCAAGGGGTAATTTCTTCTACTCATTAGGTCAAGACCTGGCTCATGTTACATTTGGGAATGATGACCATGATAAAGATACCTAAAAGGTTTTGGCTAATGTTGTAAACTGTTATTCCTAATTAATTTGTTTGCACTTTGGTATTACCTAATTAATGGCGATTGTGCTATTAGGAGAGACTATTTAGCATAAGCTAAATCTCAAAGTAGAAGTTGCGAACCCACAAAAATAGTATCTAACGCATCCTCCTTTCTAACCCTTTTAATCAGGAGCTTGAAGAAATCCGCAAATCTGGGATGAAAAATTTCCGTAACATTCAAGTCGATGAATCAAACATATTGACATGGCAAGGCCTCATTGTTCCAGTAAGTGTTTAGTAAATGCTCATACATCTTACATGAATTGTTATTTGCATGTGTAAAGTATACAGACAAGGAATGGTATGTTGTAACAGCTTTAGGATTTGACGAAGATGCCCAAACCTGCAGGCCAAAGTTGGCCTGTGGTGACCTATTGTATTTTTGAGGGGGGAAAACACGCCATTGAAACATATCTTCATTTCTATTTTGTTTAAACATTTTTAAATCACTTTTATTTTTGCATTGTAATTTGCATTTTGCAAATACAGAGAATATAGGTGAATTCGATATTTTTTTAATATACCGTTGTTGAATGTAAAGCAACATTTACTTTCAGTCAATAGCTTTTATTCATGTTTGATTTTTGGCACTTCGTAGTTAAAAGCTTGGGCACCTCTGTACAAAACATTGATTAATCTCTAAATATTTTTTAACCAATTTCTTGCACATTTTAGAGCTAGACTGCATTTAGACAATCTAGACAATATACATGCATTTCATAATGCAATCAGCCACATCTGATCTCCTACCTCACACATTCATGCTATTTTCCTGTTCTCAATATCGATTTGTTTGTAATTGTATACATTACAGACTGAGCTGCATTCACCTTATTCTCCCACAGGACAACCCTCCATATGACAAAGGGGCGTTCAGGATCGAGATCATCTTCCCTGCAGAATACCCTTTCAAACCACCCAAGATCACATTCAAAACGAAGATCTACCACCCCAACATTGACGAGAAGGGACAGGTCTGCCTGCCTGTCATTAGTGCAGAGAACTGGAAACCAGCCACCAAAACTGACCAAGGTGAGATGCGCTGCAGTTGTCGCAGTATTCCTGCAAGCTGCTAAAGCTCGGTTGATCCTGGTGCATAAACACTCTCGATCCTGTTGTCACTTCATTATATAGAAATACCGTGCTTCACTGAAAGATACGCATGACAATCACAGCTTCTGTCGAATCGCGATCTCGATTCCATTTCAATTTATCGTGCAGCCCTAATCATGATGATGTTTGTGTTCACTGTCCATCTGTTTATAAAGTAGGCAACACCCTTTATTTCTTTATTCTGCTCATATTGACTACCCAAACGAGACTTTGATTAATCTTTTTTTTTTCTGGTTTTTGTAAAGATAAAGGCCATTTAGCTCTCTCTGACTAAATGACAGGAATGATTTAACGCTGAATTTAATAAAACTATATAGCTTTTATTCAGTAAGGACTCATTAAACCGTTCTTTTGAACTTCTATTCATCCAAGAAAATAATTCTCTGTTGGCACAAAAATATTAAGCAGCACAACTGTTTTCAACATTGATAATTAGAAATTAATCTTTGGATTATGTGACACTGAAGACTGGAGTAATTCTGCTGAAAATTCAGATTTTAGATCACAAGAATAAATAAAACATTTAAATATATTAAAATAAAGTTATTTAAAATTGTAATAATATTGAACAATATTACTGTTTTTACTGTATTTGCTAGTCTTGCAGCTGTTAGTTACTGCAGCTCTATACATGAAGCATATCACACGTTCCTCCAGGATTGGATGCGTTCAAACTTTCAACATGTATGCAATTGTTCTACAGCATTCTTGTGATGTCACATTTCTTCAGAAAGCTAGATTGCTCTGAACAAGTTTAGATCATGCAGTACTAAATCCCTAGTTTATAAAGCTGTGTAGATTAAAGTTTTGCTTTATATTATGGAATAAACATGTTGAGGTTCTTATTTCTTGAATAACTAGCATCTCTGTTTTAGGCTTTTGTTTTTACCTTTTGGTTGGATATCTGTTGGTAACAATAAGAATTTTTTTTTTTTTTTTTACTTTCACCTGCAGCCATCTTTAGGGGAATATTAACTACCCAAACATTGCATAGATAATTAACTAAAACTATTAAGAAAAAAAATTTACATTACTTTACATAAATAATAACTTAAATAAAAGATTAAAAAAGACACATTTTAGCTAGTTCCCAAGGAAACATTTCTCATTTTCATTTGGTTTAACTTGATGACAAACGGAAAATTACTTATTTATTATTTTTGTTAAAGTTAAAAATAAAAACCAAGTATAAAACTGAAAACTAATTTAAACTATTAATATAAATATATAATGGTGTGATACTACAATAATGCTGGATAGAATAATGATAAGGATATATGAAAGATAAGGGCCAGGGTAATTATAGTTTACTAGAACTTAAACTAAAACCATAAAAAATTAATTATTTGAAAAAATAAACGCACTTAAAATTAGGGCTGTCGCGATTCGTCGATTCTATTCGACTTTTTAAAATCCTTGACTTCATTTTGCCTGCATCGACTAACTGGCAAAATACCGGAAGTGGCGCATTTCACGGACGAGAATCCATAAAACACATTAGTACTGTTTTCCAAGGCCTCATAATATATTAAACCTGTTTAAAAATCATAATTAAGCATAACTTGTGAATTTACAAACGCTACAATTTAATTCAATAATTATATGTGATGCAGTTATAGGCGTGTAGGTTACGTACGTGCGTCTCACAGCGGCTCCGTTCACAGTAAATGCTGTTGCACAGGAACTGTTATCATTTACATGTGTGGAGCGGCTCAAACTCCATCTCTGCATGTT